AAACAACATTGGGGTGTTTTGGGGTCAAGGTTACAGGGATGGATTCAGTGAAGCTGTGGTAACATTAAGTCCTTCATATATAAATATATATCAGTTACATGTCAGAATTTGATTGTGCACAACAGTCACAATGTTTTTTTTCCATGGGGTTATAAATCACCAGATCATAAAAACCGGTGTCGGTAGGCTGAACAGAGCGAGGGTCTATTTTTAAGAATAATAGAGCGTGCTTTTGAACAGGTGTGGAGCTACTCCTCCAGACAATGGGTTTGGCTCACCTCACCGTCCACAGTAAATCAATGAGCTGGGACCCACATTCAGACAGGCTATTTCTGTCGTTGCGGTTTGGTCAGCTGCTGGTTGGGCAACATTTTTCTAACAATGCCTCTCAGGAGTTTGTCTTGCTTCTATTCCTCATCATAAAAAATGCTTATACCAGGTTTTTGGTAACAACAGTGACTTATTTGATATACATGCTGAATGGGTGATGTTGGGATAAAGAAAATTAGCTCCACATTCCCAGTTCCACCCTCCCTCCTCCTCCTCCTGCCTGGCTACGGTCCTGTTCTTTCTTTCCAAGCCGTTTCAAAGGGCCAGCTGCACATTCAATCTCTGCATGCCATATTTACACTTTCCCTTTATATGGTTACTGTCCAAAGTCGTGCTTCTGTTTAAATTCTGTTACATATCTGCTCAAATTCAAACACTGTGGTGCCTGAGCCCCTGTGTGGTTGTTCCCTGTGTCATCAGATTGAGCAGCTGACGTCAAAGGACAAGGGAAGAGTAATGTGAAGAGGAGAAAGTGAACAAGACTGAGAAAGAAGGAGAAATAGAAGAATACCATCTGGTTGATGAAAAGCACTGACTGGAAACCCAGAAAGAATTCACAGCATATGAGGGCTGTCAGGGCTCGGGTATTAAACGTGTATTTGCTTTAATGCATGCGGTCAGTCCCCGTTTGGCTGAAACAGTATAATAACACACAGTCTGACAGTGGCAGGAATGTTGCGGCCGCTGGTTTCAGCATTAAGCAGCATTAAGTCAAAGCCCAAAGCATGCTACCAACACGGCAGTCTCAGGGGCGAGCTTAGCACCTTCTTCACCAGCATATGCACTGCTCAGAGCAGAATACATCTAAGAAAAGCCATCATAAAATCTTTAAGAGTCTACTTAGGCAACATCTGAGCCAATTTAATTCAGCATCCATGACCTTGTATGACGAACAGCTAGTTTTTAGATCCAGCAGAGGTTTATGTATCTAATTCAGCAGAACGCACTACAAGTTATTGGAAAACTAATCAAAAAACACTCAGTTTGATTAAAAATGCAGTATTTGAACTGTACTTCAATGATGTTATTGACCTTTTTTCGCTGTCATGCACCCAGAGGTCATGGTCATGCTCACGTCTTACCTCCTGTATATCTCTGAGGAAGAGTTGGGATTAGCAGCAAGCTCGGGTCTTATTCTTTCACATCCAAAGACAAGTTCAATCATCCTCCCAACCAAAAAGCACACTTAATACAGCCCTGTCCATCATGTGACCACATATCTTTTCTATGACTGGTTAGGATTGTCAGTTCTATTGTTGGAGGCAGGAGATGAGTTATACCTGGAGAGGAATGCTGCCTTCAAGTGCTCCTCGCAAATCTGCTACATACAAAGCCAGAAAATGGAAAAACAAACTTAAAGTATTATTTGACTAGAGATAAAACAGGTCTTGTAAGTTTTTGTTTTTGTTTGTTTCTTTTGAGACATTGACACAACACAGAGCTGCTTTGTGCTGAAGTCGCTGTATGTAAAGTGGAAAAGGCATGCAAGATATTTTTAAATTTGTTATTAATACACAGCTTCTACCAACAACTCAACTGTGTGTTTAACTTCATTATTTCACTTGTAATATTTGACACTTGAAGGCAGAGGAGGACTTGACAAAGCCTGGGTCCTTAGTCTCTCCTTTTCACAGTAACATCTATGCTTGAAGTGGTACTAGGGCTGCACCTAAATATTACAATATTTCTGACAGCACTTGAAGGCAGCAAAGGACTTGACAATGACTGGGTCCTTTGTCTGTCCTTTTAAACCTGTGCTTTATATTAATGCCATGTCATGTGCAACTAGGGCTGCAACTAGCTATTGTTCTTTCATTAATTAATCTGTTGATTATTTTTCTGATTAACCGATTCATCTTTTATTTCTAGTGTCAGAAAATAGCATGTTTTGTCCAACAGACAATTTACAACCACACAACAGCAAATCCTCACAGAAGCTGAAAGCAGTGAAAATATTTGAATGGGCTATGTGCTCCAAAAATGAGTTCACATCATCAATCACTTAAAGTAGTAGTAGTAGTAGTAATAGTAAGTCATTTTGACCATTGATTGGAGCCCCTGAACTGACGAAACATAGTAAAAGGTTATCAGAATAAATCAAGAAATACTATAGTTAATTGTTAAGTAAGTACTTAACTTAACAAAAAAAACACACACACACACACAGACACATATGCAACGACCTCCTCACTGCTATGCATCATTATAAACTATGATTAACTGGTGTGTGTGGTTAAATACTGTGGTAGGAACTGTGTGCATGTTGTACTATTGAAGGGGGTGAAGTGGGTCACAGAAGTGTCCCTGCACCTAGGGGTGAATGGCCACAAGATCACAGCCAAGATCAAGCACTGGGCATCACTTTTTCAAGTGAATGCAATAGCTTCTGGATAAAAGTTTTCCCTTTTCCTTTACCACCAATCACCAACAAACCTTAGTCAACAAGCTAACACTAAAAGAGGTAGTTAGCTAATGCTACTATGTTAAGTAATACCATCTTGAAGCTACACCATTATATGTAAGTTAAATTTTTTTTGCACTGTTTTACTTCCATTTGCGCACTCCACTCCATTTGCACTGTTTACTGTTTGCACTGTTACTGCTAGCCTACTGTATAATTTTCATATATTACCTATATATTGTTTTACCTATGATGAGTTATGTTATATTTTACTCTTTTATTTTATTTTTAATTCTATACTTAGGTTAGTTTATTTTAGTTTCATGTATGTTCACTCATTATTTTGTTTGGTTATCTGTACGGCTACTGGATACTTGAATTCAATGTTTGTTGATTGGTTGGCAACAATTGATCAACACTCTGTATTCATGATTTTTGGCTGTAAGCTGAGGTGTAGTTATAAGGCAAAAAAATGGTTTTAGGGTACCCATTGGGTACATATTTATGCACAGCTGAAAACTGGGGGGCCCAACAAATAAACTAAATAGAGTTCTCTCTCTATCTTTCTTATCCAAACCTATTCAATATCTTAATCTTATCTATTTCAATATCTATCTATCTTACTATCCTAATCTTGCCCATTAAACTGCCAGCTTTTCACTCGTTGGCAATAAATACCTGGCTACCCAATGTATACTTCTACAACAATCTAATAAAATCGTGTATAACTACTTACTTACAGGCCAAAGAATACAGGGGGAGCTTGACATTGCTGCCCAACAGACCCAAACATTGCAGGGGTGAGTAGCTGACAAAACAAGCAACACAAGACATAGCAAGCTAATGATTGCTAATATTAGCTACTTACTACACTAACAGCAGGAACGCCAGCTCACTCTCTGTCTGTTTCTGTTGCACGAAGTGCCCACATTTACTCTTCTCTCTCATTTTCTCTACTTAGCTTCCTCATTCAACGTCCACACAGGCCTTTTTCTCTCTGTCCTTAGCTGCTGAGCCGGGTACACTGCCCACTTGCCCGGCTACGGTTCTGGCACGACACCAATGCCACTCTCTGTTGGGAGTACGGCTTGAAGCAGAGCCAGAGGACATCAGAGGGAAACCAGAAACACTGTCTCCATAAAAAATGATCCAGTTTCACAAAAATCTGTGACATAACATTAGTTGGTGTTGTGTGAATTACTGTTGCACTTGTTACATCAGTGGTTCCCAACCAACCTTCCCACTAGGGGTTGCCAAAGCTTCCCAGGAGGTTGCAAAGCTAAAAACCTATACACATAAGGCCTATATCTCAACATTTCATTCATTTCTGTGAGGAAAACTTAATGAAATGAATAATGTTTAATAAGTTTAGAGTACTATTTAAGATATAAACTCTGAAGACATGAACACAAGCTACATTCACAGAGCCTTCCTCTCTGCTAAACAGCCTCATCCTGCATTAAAATAATAGAATAATGGTGTGTCAGAGAGAAGAAAACACTGAATTTATCGAAAAGAAAGCCTATTTAGTATGTATAATTATTAACTCATGAATTGTAAACTCATCTGTGGTTTAATATTCACAGGAAATTATCTGCTCAGAATTTATTCAAATTGCCTGTTTTAGAAAACTTCTTGCAGTTATTGCGGCCCTTAAGGAAAAAGGCTGGGAACCACTGAGTTACAAAGTTCAAGAACAGGCCTAGGGCGGCTCATGACTCCGCCATCCTGGAAAAAATATTGCTGCCTTGGCTGGTGTCATTTATATAACAATGCTCAGTGTGTATAGTCACCAGTGTTTTTAGCTAAGCTATGGAAAATTGGAAATTCGTTGAGGAAAAGGTAATATTGTGTAGGGGAAACAGATTTTATAATTGTGCCAAGAACATAGGATATAATAAATAAATAAAATAATAAATAAAATAGGAAAATGAAGTTGAAGAATAAAATTAGCAGGGGCAGATCTAGAGTGGTGGAAATGCATGATTTCTGGTGTTGGTGGATTAGAAATAAGCAAATATTGTTTTAAATTAATTGACTGTGATTAAATCAGCATATAATTCTGCCATCCATTGAAGTCTCCAGGCCACCCTCTTGCCACTTCATGAATATATCTCTCGACTTAAATTATTTAGCTAACCATATTACTTACTGATGGGTATTTTGTCAGTTTCATGTTTCCATAATCAACTAATTGTTTTAACACGTGTACACACAGAATATAATGTGGTAGTAGAGTGGTGGAGTTATGGAAGGAAACTCAACAATGTGGAATACCTCAATGTCTTTATTGCTGTTGTTGAGTCAAGGGTACAATGTTTAAAACATTCATCCAGTTGGTTACTGCCCACTTGTATGACATTGGGAGTGTTTAGAGAGACTACAGATAGTGTGATTTGCATAGGCTTAGCGCTACACAAACAACAAGTGTCTGGTTAAACATGGAAATAAAAGAACATTAAAAAACATAAAATGGACACAAGGTTGTAAAAAAAAAAACAATACGGCATTATGAAACCACTGTATTAAAAAAAAAATAAATGTCACATTAAATCACACTTAAAAGTATTTTGGTCAAGCTCCCCTGCTCTTTTCAGGAGCCATGGAATGTGATTGTCAGACTTTTGAGCAGTAACATTGATCAATTTAATGCCCCGGCAAACCGTTAATAATATCAAAGCTTGCATCGTGCAAAGACTATGAAAGGGAATGTGCTTACTGTACTTACTGTAAAACCATGTCAGTGAAAAAGAAACATGAAAATCAAAAGTCTGAATATCATACTGAGTTGCTTTGAGGCTATCATGTACTGTACCTCAGCTGTCATAAATGTTTTCATTGCAATCATAAGGCCAGAAGAATTACATAGTGGTAAATATCCTCTTAGTATCTTGCTATATGCTTAGGCACCCTGGTTTTACTTTGTATGCCCTCAATTAGAAAATGATCGCTGAGCATAAGAGTGTGCATAGAGGCAATAAAGAAAGTTAAAGGTAGAATTAAAAAAAGAGGGTTGGTTTGCCGATTTCCTACATTATAAAACCTAAAGCTTTTAAGCAGCAAAGGCACCTTATGCACCTGCTTTATCAAAAGGAATGTCTGAAGATTTTAAAGTGATCCAAACAGGTACAAAAGCTACAATAACAGCTAGAAATAGAAAAGACAAAACACATTAAAACATAAATAAAATGACATATAGGGTAATAAAAGTCATAATGGCCTTCTGAATATTCAACACTCCTATCACCACCGAAATTAACTGCCTGTTGGTGAATAGTTTCTGGATACAAAAAAAAAGCAAAAAATACCTTTTGTTATGATTATAAAGATGTTATATAAGATACAGTATGATAGGTCATATTCAAAAACATCACATGTGCTAACATATATTACTCAGACCATTGCTGCACTATTGGTAAGACATAATAAAAGTGAAATCAGCTAAATTCTAGAAGTGCTTATATTTCTATCCTGAACTGGTGAACGTTGAATAAAATAGCAATGTGTGAAGCTTTTGCTTTAAATATAAATAAAAAAAGAGATGGAACATGTACTGTAGGAGGGAGAGAACAGATTTCACCCATCTCTTTGGAATGTGGAAACTTTTAAGTCATCTACTCTGTCTCTATCAAAACTGTCGGCATGGAGTAACACACATAAATCTAAATTTAATTTGTTTTTGTTTTTTGTTTTCCTCCTCCAGGATTGTATTAAGTAATTAGTAATAGTAATTACAAATGTCCAAATTTCACAGCATTTTGTTTCTTTTAGAAAGCAAAAAAATCATTGTGCAAAGGCACTATTCGTGGCAACCGTACAAAAAAAAGATGCTGTTTTGGTACAGTGCTTGGACAGCGTCTCTCCTGTCCGTCCGTTTTCATGGGGTCCCTCTAGGGAGTCTGATCATTATTTGGTTCTTAAGACAAAGTCAAAGGAAGAGTCTTGGATTGTCGTGGTCCCCAGCTTTTGTGGCTCCTTCAAGACATTAGTGTCCCATACCTGGTGAAAGACACACAACAAGTTCATCAGTGGCTTCATAAGTGTGCAGACAGGTGTGGGTTCATGACTCTGAGCTTGTGAAACAGAAGGTCAAACAGGCAACAAACACCACAGTAAAGTGTTGAAATCATGCAGTTAACATGCAGTTTAAAGGCCATTTCATGCTTCCATTAAACCCCCCCAGCCTTTTAATTGCCTTTTTTACACAAGGAATCAAAATAACTTTTAGTATACTTCTAAATTCTTAAAATTGTTATTCCATTAGCTGATAGGGATATTTTGAGGGGTGTTTGCTTGCTTGATAGATAAAATTAAAATTTTGCCAGTACCTGCAAAACTAACGAGATTCCCATCAGCCTCTGCTGTAACTGTTTAGTGCTAATTAGCAAATGTTAGTATTGTTAACACCGAAACTGAGATGGTGAGCATGTTAGCATTACTGTGCCTGAGGACCTGAGGATCACTGCAAGATATTTGAGATCGTGATAGGTGAATCTGATTCACTAACATGGAGTAACAGGACTTTGAAAGCAGGTTGAAACATTGAGGTCTCTAAATTATATACTATTGTGCACAATACAATTACTCTATATTGTAATACAACAGAAATAGAAAATGTTTATACTTTATACAAATGAGCACAAATGAGTTTTAATGAATACAGAATTCCAAACTCAAGAGGCCAAAAAAACTTATTGTTCTAAATTTAGTACAGTCAGAGAGATCCAATTTACTGTTTCCAAAATGGTGAACATTATTTTGGTTTTCTATTAGATCCAAGCATGTGGAGAGTGTGAGGCTGCTAACGTGTATGTGGTCCACTGTGGAGTCAAATGTCTGCAAAATGTCCTGCAGCCAACTACTAGCAAAGAAATACAAAATCTTTACAAAGCCTCTGTCATCCTCTGAGTAGGACTGTGATGGTGTGCTAATCTCCAACATACCAGCTATTAATCTGACAAACCGGCCTGGCAGCACTCCGAGAGCCAGGGCTGTGGTCTGAGCAGCAGAAGTGGACGCGTACATGAGTGGAAAAGCTAAAAGGTTTGAGTGGCGTCGAAATGACTGTTGAGTGGGTTTATAAGGTGAAATTGGTGTGTGTGTGTGTGTGTGTGTGTGTGATGCTGTGCGCTGAATAAGCAGCACATTACGCAGACATGTACGGAATCCCTCAAGGCCAAAACCCCTCTTCTGAACACAGGGGGGAACAAGAGGAGGAAGGGACTGCACTCAGATCTGATTTTAAAATAGCAAGCAATGTTTAAATGGCATCCTAAAACGCTGTGGAGCAAAGGCCAAATGGCAAACAGAAAAAGGCTGCAGGGTAGGCTATGATAGGGTCAGTTATTGGTTTTGAGACACATGGCGTCGTATAAATCAAAGAGCCAGTGACAGGGCGACTTACTTAACGAGAAGGTCACACCTCCAATCTTTGAAAAAATTATAGTCCTGCCAAAGTGCTAGGACATTTGTCCTAACAAACACAATGGGAAACGTTTGTTGTTGGGAAGCCAGTGAGGGATCATGTGTTTTATTTTCTGCCACACTGGCTACTTCTACTAGGCATGAATTGATGTGAGTGGGGGGAGAATATCATCAACTTTTGTGCATGTTATACCCTCTCAGTGTAGCTGGCACAAGAAACAATTTTGGCAACTTGGCGATGAGAGAATCTCTTTCCCTGTCCTTTTTAGAGTGTCTAAATTCCCTTTTATCTCTGCAATTATGTCATCAAGTACTCTGCCTGCATGCTTTTAAAATCATACTGTTATTGTTGGGTGAAAACCTCACAACTCATATTAGTAATTTCCATTTTTTTTTACTTCCATTTAAGGATTAAGCACTCCTTTATGGGTTGAGAAAATCCCATCTTTTGGTTTCTAAAAGCAATTAGAAAAATACAAAACACAAAACAGAACAAGGTGGTGTTTCTTATGTTTTGAAAACTGCATGTACAACTGCTGTATGCATGCCCCCAACCCTGCCTACCCCTACATACACAAGCTCTGCAGTTACAAGCTGACACTTCTGGCGCCTTGTAAAAACTCACCGTTGGCGACTGATTTGGTCTCCCCTCTGCCTGCCACCTGCAAGACAAGAAGACAGGAGGTTAATAAGGCAGCACAGATGCAGACAGATGCAGCAAGTTAGCAAAACAAACCTGCAAAGCTTCCAGTCAAAGAAGGGAGTGCTTACAGTTACACCTATACAGACTCATGAACCTATCCAGCTCTCCCTCAGAAGTCGTTATCCTGTACATCTTGCCTTCCCTGACATCACAGCATAGCACGGTTAGCTAATGACAAGGCTGCTAACCGCTACCTTTCCTGTCCAGGGCCCTTCTTACGTCAGTGCAGACCACCGCCTGGTGCCCTCCAACCCCACTACTCGCTGTGGCGGACCACAGCCTCCGGCCAGCCCTGCAGCTGTTGGCTGCAGGGACACACTACTGCCAGGGTAGGAAAGAAGGAAGGAAGGAAGGAAGGAAGGAAGGAAGGAAGGAAAGCTCATACCAAAGTAAGTGTGGTTGATTGGGAATCCTTTTCTTACTCTTTTTTAAAATGTGGGGCTGCATTTCTATTAAGCAGCTCTACAAACCGACTTTATCTATGTATAGAAATAAAGATAATACAATTTATTCATGTCAGGTTTTGTCAGTCTTGTTTTAAAATGTGAGGTGATAACACTGATTCAATACTGTCAAACTGCCATTGCGCAACTTGTAACTGTAACTTACTTGTAAAGATTGCTGTAAACAGTTCCTCCATTAGGGCAATATAAAGTTAAGTGAAGTTGGACTGAGAGTAGTGCTTTGTCAGAAGAAGGTGCGGTGATGTGATACAGCCATTTGTGAAAAGCATTCAGCCCGCAGTTGGACAACAGGCTCATTGTTAAAGGTTTTTTTTTTTAACGACACAGAATTTACACTAAACTGTAATCTTCTGCATTTTGTTGAGTCGGCTTTAACAAGTTATTGGTGTTAATGGAGTCAACAGCGTAATCCTTTAAAATTGGCTTTACTTTGTTCCTTTTATTTTACAGCTCTTAGAACATCTGGCACACATGCTTTACAAGTTTCGTTCTTTGGTGCCCTATGTGCATTTTGGAAAGCAACTGATGTTTATTGCTCAATATTTACAAAACGCAAATAATTGCTCTGTGTCTGAAGGGACTTGAATAATATTCAACACAGTATGCCAAGAATCCCTCAAATCATGCGAACGTAAGACACATTTGTCAAATCATAAACGTCTAATTTTGGACTGAAACTCTTAGATATTATCATTCTAATTAATATAAGCAGTAGCGTCCAACCACAGCAGAACAGAGTGCAGCTTTGCCAACGACACAGAGCAAAGAGTCGACAGTGTGACAGCAGAGCGTGAGGTCATTCTGTGATAAGTGCTTTAAAGGAACGTGGAACAATTGCTCCTTTACCTCTCCAGGCTTATTCCAGATTTAACGGTGAGGTCAACTAGCTATGGGAGTTCTTTAAAACAAAAACAAACAGAAGTGATTGTTACTCCCATTGCTGCGACACCAGGGGTCAAAATATCGTGAGATTAGTTTCATATTCCTCCTTCATCTCTTTAACAAAACGTTCTCTTGATCGACAACAACTGGAAAACCATGAAAAACCACGGGAAATCCTTCCAAGACCACAAACCAATTTGGCCTCATTAAAACATCATCTGGACATACTCCAGGATGTGTAATGCTCACTTGGATTTTCCCCGATGGGTGAGACTGGTACTCTTTCTTCATGATGCTAGACAATGAATAATAGCTACCTTGGTTGGAGAGGCACCTTTGTTTTCCCATAGACTCCTCTTGTTGGTGACGTCAACAGGCTTCAGGTCCTGTCAGAGAGGGACAGAAAACAAGAGAGCAAAGACAAAAGCATCATATCAGAGTGCTCAACGTTTTGTAGGTCAATTTGAAAATAGTCATCATATTGTGACAAATGGCAGAGTACCTGAGACGTAGAAGAGGGGGGGAAGGGGGGTGGCAGAGGAAGACAGAGAGCATGAGGAAGGAGAGCAAAGGTTGACAGACACTATCAAGCAGAGAGGTGCTTGTCTACAGGAAGTGGAAAATAGCACTGTCACTGTGAGTCTGAGGCACTCAGGCACACTGTCTCTCTCAAGACACTACATCACAACGCAGAACGAAAGAGAGGAGCTATTAATGGATAGCAGCGTTATATGGCAAATGAGCTCCAGTTCTTAAGGAAATATTCACTTGTTGAACACCCTTTTGGAAATACTATAAAGTGTCCTCTTATATTCTCCTCTATTCTAATGTGTGCTACCTATTTGAGCCATAATCTGCGACACACAAATCTCAAGCATAAATATTTGGGGGAAATAATATAGGTAGGAGTGAAGAGAAGCATGATACACATGAGCAGGACTGAAGAAACACACACTCAGGCTTGCTGTCTGTCTGCTAGTGAAGCTTATGATAAGCTTAAGATAAAATGCTTAAGTGAAACTGTATACCAAACGGATGCCAAGTGTATAATATCCACATGTACTCTGTAGATACTGTGATTAGACATAAGAGTGGACTGCAGCAAGTTCAGACGCTTCATAAGTTATTTTTATTTATGGCCACCAGGTGGTGCCAGACAGATAATGTCTCAACCTGGTTGTTCCTCTGCATCATTTGAAAATGATTATAAAACATCTACTGTACAGATCACGGCCAGCAGTAATTGTGACAATGGCATAATATTAATGCTGCCGGTCTGATATAAGAGTGAGATTACTGCTTTTATTATGAGGTGGACCAGAGTTTGCTGGAATGAATGCAGCTCAGATGTTACGGGATCTGACTACTGAATCTGAAGAAGACATATATCCATATACGTGGGGGTCAAGTTCTGTCTTCACTCCAGCTACAAGCAGACACTTGAAGCCCCTTCAAACTTTAAACATACTACAAGCCCATGAATTGAGACAAAACAAGGCGGTCAGAACACTGCCACTTTTGTCCACAGGGGGCGCCAGAATCAACAAAAATGAAAGGTATTTCTCTAACATTAAACGTTCATGACTAAATGAGCTAATAACACAATAAAAAAACATCTTTCGGTGTTATTTAAGGAGATTTCTTATACTGACAGTGACCAAACAAACCACCAGCTGTCCTCAGATTCTGATTAAAATGGTGCTCCATTCTCATTGGTGCATGAAAATATGTGACATAAATAAATCACAAATCACTCATGTGAAATAACCAAAACTGTTCTAAGTTGGGCATAAAACTGTGCGTTCATGTAGGAACCCATCCCTCATAGTGAGAACATTTAGGCCTTTAAAGTAGAGATTCGAAAAAAACCATCTTGGATGAGTTGAAACAGATATAAATCTTCACAGACATAAAAATCACTCTAGCCATAATGTAGTCAATCGACACAGCTGCATCTGCTACGTTGCAGTTTTTTTTCAGCATGTCTCTACAGGGCCGTACAGTACATGTACTATATTTCCTAGCAGCAGCGGCAGGGGTTGCTACAGCGACGACCTACCGCCGGCCTTCCTCCTGACGTTTTGCCGCTCTCCGGGGTTTTATTCAGCCAGTCGTTGATGCGGCCCGCCACGCCTGTCTTCATCACAGCTGCTTCCTGTTTGGATAGGGTCAAAGGTCAACTAAGGCTGGTCGTCATCAGCAACAGGGCAGAGCAGGAAGTGCCAGTGAACTGGGCTCTTTCCTTTCTCTCTCTCTCTCTCTCTGCTCCAGTCACACACAGAGTTTCATTAATGATCTCACATCCTCCACCACCTTGTTTTTTACCTTGAACGTGCTACCGCCACTTCCAGGTGAGGCGAACACGTTGCCTTTCTCCCACATGCTCTTGATGCTTCGTATGCTGTCGGTGACCATGGGCAGATCAACCGCTCCAGAGCGAGGGGATCGAGACTCCTTGTTCTCTCTCTGCTGAGACAAAGTGGTGGCTTTAAGCTAGTGAACAGCAGGGACGGCTGTTCTGATCAAAGCTCGGATACCTGTCTTTCTTTTCTTAAAAACCCACACAAGCTTGCTAATAATAACAGCGACAAATTCCTACAGCGTCTTCAAAGTACATTAAGAAACATTACTGTGTTGCTTTGGGATTTCAAATCAAAAGGGAAACATGCTGGGTATGACTAAAAAATAATTAGCATGAGGGAGCAACACACCACACTAATTCTGACTGCTTATGTGTCTCCAGTTTAGGACACAGGATGGGTATTTCTGGGGCAACTTCAAAATCATATTTTTTAGCATACCAAGGCTGGAATCAGATCAGGAAACTTACTTTAGGCAGTTTTATATGTATATTTTATATGTATATGTGAATTCAGGATTCTATAGATTTGCCTCTTGTTGCTCAAATCTGATTTCAAATTGCCCTTTACATTACTTGCAATGTGACATTTAGTTTTCTTTTATAAGATCATATTTTTTTTAAATGGAAGATGCACAAACACTAAAATGGCTATTTAAATATGAAATTCATGTTTAAGTTAGCCACTTCCTTGGATAAAGTATGAGGGTCGAGGAAAATAGCCTTTTATGAGGATAAACTTGAACTGGGCTTGTAGACTCTTTTTTATTTTCTGCTATTTGTTATACAAAATATATTAAATTTGCATGTAAACATATCTCATTTTAAAGTGTATATAATATAGTGCTGTTTGATATACAGCTGTGTCTTGTAATCCCAAGTGAGATAGGCCAAATGTTTTGCATGACACGGACATAAAAACAAAGTAAGCTAATACACTTTCTTACTATGACAATAATGGCCATTTTACAGCCAAAGACATACTAACCTGAGCAGCTGAGGTGTACTGCTCCAGCCTGTTGTCTATCTTGGACACCACAGGAGAATGAGACGCCTTCACTGTGCTGCTGGGCAGAAGCAAACAGTTAGCATACACAGCACGAGACCACTTTGAATGTTATACACAGTGTGGTCTACCATTTCATCTTTAGTGCCTTGAGAGAGGACACTTGCGACCATAAGTGGGGATTAAAACTTCAACTCTGAGTTACATTTTTCCTCTTCATCAAAACAGGACTGCAGGGCTTCCATGCTCGACTAAAAGCCTTGTTACTGGGGGGAGAACAATATGTTTTTACCTTTTCTGTGCCGACTTGTTCAGGAACTCTGCCCTCTCTCCAATCTGTTGAGAAAGGTTATTAGAGCTCTAGGTTAATAAATATTGCAGTGATGTTCCACACATGCATACATGTAACACAACATCTCCTTCACTCTTCAGTAGCCTTAAAACAGATGTTAAACCCAGCCGTCCCCTTGATTTCCATGCTTCTATCATTTCCTTCTTGTTTGTAGTAGTTTCCTGACTTGAGTTCATAAGTCAATATGTAGACACACGTGATTCTGTATTAAGTAATTACTGGTCCTGGTCCATTTTTCATAACTTAAATAGCATCATGTACTTAGCTTTCTTGCCAATAATCACTAGACTACGACAGTATTTTCTTTAATGGTGAATATCTCATTTTGTCTCATTTCTTCATATGCTCAATAAGCTGCATTTTCCTCCTGACACACAGTGTAACCGATTGTTCCCTCCGTGTGCAAAATGCACTGAAAGACACACACATGCACACACACACAGAAAATACACAGCAAGTTTTTTCCTATCTCTACCGTTGGACTGTGGGAATCTTAGAGGATTGTTTATGATATAGGGGGGGGAAAAAGGCTAAAAGAGGGGGCAACACATGGAATCCTTAGACGCTCACAAAAAAAAAAAACTTTAAACGGACAAAAGAAGAAACTGCAGAAAAAGCTCTCTTCCCCCTCCCTGTGAAAAAGGACCTCGCTCTCAGCCGCTACTGAATGTGGGAGTTCCCAAAATACTCCTCAACAGGAAATTCCCCATTCTCAGATGCGTTTTAAAGAGCGGTAGCCATCCGAACGCAGTTACAGTAACCCTGTTAACCCTAATCGCTTCCCTGCATCCCTGTAGCCTGTCCCTCATTCTGTCCCATTGCTCTTCCAGAGAACGCTGTGCTCTATCTACAGCACGGAGCAGGGGTTATGCTGGTTTACTGCTGATAACATGTAGACGAGCTCCTGGGACTGTGTGTTCCACTGGTGATTGCTGATATGGAGGCATAAATCTCTGTTTTAGCAGTTGTTGGGCAATAAAAAAAAAAACGTAACAGCAGAAGGCAATGAAGAAAAACAATGTATGCACTCAATTGAAATAGGCTGCTGATTAGCACTAGCAACATGTGAGACAGATATGAGTGCATTGTTATTTGCTTCTTTCACTTATGTGACTATTACGACATTCCATACTGTGCTGTGGTATGACGATGTGCAGAATGAAAGGTTTCGCTCGTAGTAATGGAACTTAAGAGATTTGTCACCAAACTCATATTTGCTTTGGTTTTACAGAACTTCACTGTTCTGGTTCATTGTCGCTGCTTTTCATTAGGTATTTCCAGCAGCAGGCAATGAATAGGAACTGATAATTGACTAACTGTAAGTTATATGCCCAACACCAAATGGCAGTAGCTAGGTAAGTGAACATGGTGGAGCATTTAGAAGCTAAAAAGACAGATATTTAACTCAGGAGAAGCTGAATATTGGATTTACATTCACCAAGTGACCAGAAACATGACTCCAAATTAAAGCTAATGTTGCTCCATAGTGTGCTGGATGTGTTACCATTAGCTAACTAACGTGTTAGCTAATGGTAACACGCCAACTTTATTAAAATATTTTAATGTTGTGCTTACAGTTTGTTCCGTTGCCACCAAGTGACCAAATAAATCGATGAAACCTGCTTTAAAAGTTCTAACTTGATTTTTGGTTGTCTATGTGGCATTTCATTTGTCCCAAGTGAAAAAGCTCTTTTACTAGATGTAGAGTTTGGTGGGAGACAAAGAAAAATAATATAAAAGAAATATAAAACATGAAATGCAACTGTATTATGACCTGGTAATACAGTGCCACATACACAAAACAAAAAAACATTAGTATAACACTGCAAAGCAACAATTTAATTTTATACACAACCCAGTGTGCTGTATATAAAATATAACACATCCAGATGTCCGCAAACAGATACACACACATGCATACATGAACAGCTGTACCTACAGTGAACATGACCACAAAGTAAAGCTGTGTCTTGAGTGCAGCCGCGTGGAGAATTACAGTTCAACAACATTATTTACAAAACTGACCACAAAGAAATAAAGCACTTGATTCCAGCACGATCAGAGCTCACACACCATTAGAGCCGAGCCCCGAGTCTGGAGTCTCACCGGGACGGGCCAGATGGATATTACTGCTAACTGTCACTAATTAGATTTTCTCCACTGGCTGAAAATCCCCCTCGATTTTGAGTGTGTGGGAGTTGGCTTTGGCAACACTGGAAACATTTATTCACATTTGAGTTGATTAAACGTTCCTTCGCCGTGACAACCATTTATCTTTGGATGGGGTGGGGAGGGGCACGCGCTGGGTTGATTCAGGTTGCTTTTCCCGATCGCAGTGTTTCATGTGACAAACAGGTTAGCGAGTCAGCAGAATTTCAAAGTGAAATCAAACCCGGAGAAAAGCCCACTTTTTTTCCACATTTCTCTCCTAGTTCATCGAGGCTCTTTCTATTTATGAACACCTTCATCTCAGTCAGATAACACTTCATGCGGAGAGCTAAAAGAGGTGAGAGGGGCAGATGCGGGTCATCTGGCACTTAATCTCTCCAAATATTTTGAATGTTTAGCTTGAGCTTTGCTGCACTGCCGGATGAGTGGGATTTGCAGGTTTTGGAGTTATTATATTGACTCCATTATGCTGACGACTGCTGCAAAAACAGATGGGAAAATAGAACTCAGACAAAGTGTTTTATAGTTGCAGTTGGTTTAAGCATTGAATTGAATTATCTGTGTTATTATCCGTGTGAAAAACTGACTGATTAATTGACCATTGCCTAAACCAGCTTAGCAACCGTAACTAGGGATGACAGGCCTGTCAAGCTTTAAAATTTTCCACATGTTGAAGCAGTGCATGAGGCTGTAGTAAAAGCAACATTCAGCATCCAGATAGTAAGGTGGATCATTTGTTTTTCTTAGCTTTCCAGAACTAAAAACACCACAGCTAAGATGTTAAATAAAGTGTCTGTCTGCTTTAACGTTAGCTGTAATCATGATCATTTCCGGAGAACTAGCTCACGACCTGCAGGAGTAACTGAATGCTTCCGCCGAAGCCAAGAAGCAGAAGTTATGCTAAAAAAAGCCCAGTTAAGGACAAGCACATCCACTGTTTAGTACCTGGATGCTCCTTTAATCAGGGCGTAGGGTAACGTTAGCAGCTCTGTCCTGATCCTTAATGCATTCGGGGAAAGTTAAGCAGGCAAACAGGGTTACTTTAAAACAAAATAAGAGTCTGATCTTACTTTCTTTCTCATCAAACTTATAATACTACTAACAGAGCTGGCTCCAGTTGATACAATCTGCCAACTTTATCATCATTTTAGCCTTAAAACTTCGTTACGGCACTACAGCAAATGGTCATTTGGCAAATAAATATGGACCGACACTCTCCTGTTGGACACGGGACAGAGGTCAGAGGTTAAAAATGGCAGACTGACCTTCAGAGAGGAGCCTCGAGGGCTGACACACTTGAAGGGTCGGTCCTCCCCATCCGGAGTGTCTTCCACCTTCTGTCTCTTCTCAGCTGCCTCCGCTCTCCTCTTTTCAATCTCCTCCTTCATCTTCCTCTTCTCCTCCTGAGAAAAGACAGATGTGTTTAGAGTGGAGGCAGCAGCAGCATCTCTGGGAGTTGACAGGGAACTTTCTGTTAATTCAATTGGAGTATATGTAGGTGGCGCTCTGCTCTTTGCCAAGCACAGCCATGCCGGATACTGCTGCTCATGCTAACTGCCACATTTCTCTTGTATTTACTCCAAACAAACCACTGTTGCTGCTGGAAACCTAAAGCACGCTTCCTGTGCACCACTGGATCTTGCATGGGAACAAACTAACAGACCCAGAGCCGCATATGCAAAATATCTGAAGTGGATATGAGAAAATGGAAATGCATTTATACTATCATAGGTTATTATCTTGAATAGCATAAGTTACAGACAACCAATAATGAGGAATGCAGCCGAAAGCAAACAATAGATATGTGCCACTTTCTAATTGATTACTTTATCTAATGAAGCAGGTCAGGAACTAATTCAATTACTCAGAGCAAATTCTTATTTACAGTGATTGCCTGCCTCAGGAAGAAAAAGCAATTTTGGAAAGCTTGAGACATGCAGACTATCAACAGTTTTTTTTTTTCAAACAATTAATGTATGAACCATTTGTACTGTATTCAGAAGAGGGCTGGTGCTTGGCAGTATATCAGCCCTCTCCAGCAGCCTTGTCTTGGTTAATTAGTCTCTCTGTATCTCTGGGCCATCTTTTAATTACAAACCAAAAGGCCTCATTAACATCACACAAGAGGAGAAGAACAGGGGCACATAGCGAGAGACGGGCCGCCACATTCGAAGCCAAGATCAACAAAGAAGACCAGTCGGGGTAATAGTGAGAACGCGGTGCCTCGGAGCGAGCGGACGAGAGGGAAAACGAACGACATCGCGTGGCTGAATACAAATGTGAACACATAGGAAGGAGGAGGTTATCACGTTTGAGATAAATAAAGATGGGGTCGTCATAGGAGGAGGAAGAAGGAATGACACAGATGAGTTACGAGAGGAGACTCGAATAGGTTGAGTCATGATAACAGTGAAGTATGGAGAGATAACGTCACAGCGGCGCCAGTGTGAGTGTGATTCATGGGTTTCAGCTCACACAGGTATAAAGGCTAAATCAACATGAAAACAAGGCCTGTTCTCCAAGGGGGTGTGATTTTTTGGTTCTAACCGATGATGCATAATCTGTGTGGGCGGACGCTAAAAATAGTTCACTTAAATTCCAACAGCCACACAGGCAGCTCACCAGCAGGGGGGGCTTGCTTTTAGCCTTTAGTCCCTTCTGAGATTTGTATGTCTCTATACGTGGTACGCGGCTCCGCATGTGGTTCTAGATAGGGCCGTTTTTCACGCAATCGTTCATAGCCTATAAGGGGCTATGTGGTCCAGTTAGTACTAGTAGCACGCCATGGAAGTTGACAGCACATCTCCTAGCAACGCCGGCTCTCACATGTCCGTCGACAGCTGTCATGGGAAATGCCCACTCAGATGTTGTTTGCACAGATCTATCCAAAAACTTGTTTTTGACAAATGTAAAACTGTGCACAATAGCTGCAGTACAATTTTAGTTTATATTTCCTTACACGGAAAAGTGAGGAGAATTAAAATTTGAGTTTGACTTCAACAAATCAAAAAGAAATTGGATAAAAGGGAGAATAGAAACATGGACAGACAGAAGAACTGATCAAACGGCATCTATAAAGTGACAAGTTAAAAAAAAGACATCAAAACATGTCTCCGTCTCTTCCCTACCTCCTCTCTGGCTTTTCTCTCCGCCTCCTCCTGCTTCTTCTGCCTCTCCTCTTCCTCCAGCACCTTCCTCCTCTCCTCCCTCTTCCTCTTCAGCTCCTCCAGCTCGGCTTCGGCCTCCTGCTGCTTCTGCCTCATCCTCTCAAACTCCTCGCTCTCTGCGTCGTCGCGGCGACGCTTCAGCTCCTCCAGCTTGCGCTCTGCCTCCAGGCGGGCCGCGTCGTCCTGTTCGTCACCCGCGGACACCTCGGGGGAACGTACACTGCCGCGACTGGGACAGACACACAAACACGGGTCAGAGCACACATGCAGGTGACAGCACAACAAGGACTGTGTAAGTAGGACGCAAAGCTGGTTGACATACAGGGAAACACTTGACATTTGATACAAGCTGAATATTTAAACAACATTTGTTCCTTTCATGGATTAGCAAACACACACAGACAGACAAAAACATGTGCACACATACAAATACCAACAATCACCTCTGCAAAGATAATGTTACAGCACATCTCCAGTTGCATCCAGTGTTTCATGCTGGGGATTAACTGTATGTGACCCATGTTCAAAACACACCATTGTTCTGCTACTGACTGCTGAACAAAAAAAGCTTGTTTGCTTGAAAATCTGATTCAGATATGCTTTTCAATTATTTTGCAGATGCCTTCGGCGATACTTCCGTGCTCTTAGACCAGCCTGAGTGACAAACAATAAACGGCAATAAGATCCTGTCTGGTTGAACAGCCACTGTTCAGCAGATGCAAACGATCTTAAGTAAATAAATATTTCTCCTTCATAATTTCCAGTCTGCAATAGCACAATTCAGGAACTTATTTAGTATCCTTTAAAATGTGTTTTAATTTTATGCCATCAGTCATTTTTCATTATAGAAATATGTGTATTTGCCTTTCATTTCTGGATATCTTTGTATTTTGTTAAGTAAGAGCTTAACCTGTAACAGAGCTTTGGTTGGTAGGTAGCTTGATCTTCTCATTTGACCTCTGTGCCAGAAATATTAAGTTACTGCAGTACTTTGCCACAACTGGTCAAGTGTAGAGAGGCACTGATATTTCAGCATACTGTCACAACTGCGAAAAAATCAGCTCCATAAAGCAGTATTGCTATTCCTCCATTATAATATTTTGCTGCTAATGTTGGGTAAAATGGAGAATTTAACTTCTGCATGTCACCTACGCTATAACTGTCAAATTTACATTAATCCTTTTTTAAACAAACTTAAATACTGAAAATGTAAACTTGTTTTTCATCTACATTTGCACTAGGACTCTTATGCAGCTACTACCAGCCAGGGGACAAAAATATGTGGAATCAAATGAAAGATACTAATATCTTCAGAGTGCTGCACAGATCCTTCAGGTACATATTCTTAACTGGCAACAAATTAAAATATGTATTTTTATGAGTTTTGTTGAAAACAGAGTCTCTTGAATAATTCAGAAGGCCTGGCTATCCCCAATTTGGCCACAGTGAAAACCAGCAGGTCACTTGATGTGTGCTGTTGTGTCTGTGTACCTGAGGGTCCTCTCAGGTTTCCTGTGCTGTTTGGGAGTCGCCTCCTCATACAGCCCTCCGTTCTGCTTTCCCTGCTCCTCCCTCGCCCTGCCTCTCTCGTCCACCTGCACAGAAACAACC